AGGAAATGATTAGAGAACAAGGGAGGCCCCTCCCCCAAAAAAGGCTGCGACCCACTGGTGGGGCGATTTTGTCAAAAAGGACATAAATGACCTGCTGTCCGTTCTTCCTCTCACCAAGTTTTTCTTTCTCTCGTTCCTTTTTTCCTATTCTTGCTATTTTTATTTTCTTAAATTTTCTATTTTTCTGCCTCTTTCCTCTCTTCCTCATTTTTTTCTTTCCCTTTTCCCCCTTTTCTCTCTTCTTTTTTCTTCTTTTCATCCCCTTTTCTCTTCTCCCTCCCCTCCTTCTGATTTTTAAGGCGTCCTCATTTGACATTTATCATGAGTCCTAAGACTCGAATCTCTCGGACTATAAAATTCAACGGGAAAGAAAAGAAGAAAAATACAGTGGCGGTTCGGAGGAAGGAGAATGCTAGGGAAGGACTAGAGGGGAAGAATCGAAAAATATCGGTGGCATGTCTCCCTTGAGCCGTTGTGTAATAAGTTCCTCGTTACGAGTGTAACCCACTTTTTCAAGTCGCCTTCAATTACGCTGACACGCCACCCAGCATTACACGCGCGTGAAATAAGTGGTATTCGATTGAGGATCCTCGCTTCGCTCATGAAGGCGCACGATTTGGCGTCAGCCAGTCACGAGGCGAACCATTGTCTCGTCTTTTCCTCATTTGTTCTTTGTGCCTCGAAATCAAAGGTTCAAATGGAATCAAATTGAGTTGGCTAATGAAGCCCTTCCAAATTTTGTGCAACCATTATAGATTTCAAATAACGAAAACAACGGCAAGTACCATTGACAAAGTCTGAAATGCACTTCTTATTTCACAGTTTGAGTTTGTTTATTTTCAAACCCTTCTCGGAAAGTCTACTATGTCGTAAGACTTGATTATAGGACTTTATGTGACAGCCTATACTATTCAAACACGCAAAAATTATTTTATAAAACCATCCTTTGTGTTAAATTCAATTTTAAGAATTCGTACCCCAACAGTGAGCATAATCAGTTTACACATATAATCTCTCGATTTTTACGTCTTTTTTCAACATAAATTCGCATGAAAGCAGAAAGTTACAAGAAATCACCTTGATCATCAAATTTTTAGGAGCAGCCCGAGACGATGATAACAGTGGAACAACAAATATGAAAAAAACGGGAAACAAGGCAGCCGAAAGGCAACCCCCGGGAACAGCTCAATACTGACGCCCAAAGTTAAAACAATGAGTCACTGGCGTAAGTCATACTCGAAACCTCACCATACGGGTGCCAGGGTAGCATCCGCATGGTTATTCACAGGAATCGGGGTTGGTCTATAAAATTCCTTGTGGAAATTGCGACATCAGTTACATCGGTCAGACCAAGCAACTTCTAAGGAAGAGGCTTGGTGGTCATAAATATGACAATAGTGAGTTAACAGCACTCAAGAGGCACCAAACAGAATTTGGTCACCGGTTCGATTTTGATAAGGTGGTAATTTTATGTAAGGAAGAGAAGTTGTTTCCCAGACTGGTCCTGGAAATGATCGAAATCCTCAAACATGGGGATTCTGTGTGTAATAACCGCACTGACATCAGCGGGCTTAGTGCAATATACCACTCACTTTTTAAAAAGTCAGGTTTAGGTTGACGCCCCAGCGGCACCTATTGGCTTTTCCTTGAACTTAATTGTTTCACTGGTTAGTGCTGCCATCTGTGTGTGGATCGTGAACTAGCGTATCGGTCATTTTCGGTTACTGGTGCTGGCATCGATGTGTCTTGTTTGTTATCAATTTTCTTTTTTTCTCTCAGATCCCGGCCCCACCATGTAGAGCTCAGGTTTTTAGCGTTTTTCTTTTAAAATTTTTTATTGTTTCCGACTGAAAATGACTCAGTGTTGAGTCGAAACGTCTCGGGTTTCATAATTGTGTATTTTTAGCCTTGTTTCCCGTTTTTTTCATATTTGTTGTTCCACTGTCTTGATCATCAAAGAGATGGATCATATTTCTGGACATTTAATTTATTAATTTTAATAATAAATTTATTTGTCACCTTTATTTGCTTTCTAGACTAGGTTTGACGTTTAAAACAGTAGATTTTGCGTGAGAAAAATTTGAAATTATGTTTTTTTAACCATCTGGTCTTCAATTGTCAGGAAATTTTACCAAAACGTAGTAGGAAAATCAGGGAAATGTCGGAGAATTTCATTTTCTTCATTCTGTGGTAACCCTGTCGGAACAGTTTGAAATAATTGATCGCTTCGGCAATTCAACAAAGCCTCGACATTCTGATTTTGTTGCGCCTACCTTTTATGAGGAGCCACCACCTACCCTGGGAGGGACGCGCGCGGAGGGGGGGGGGATCAAACTGGCGCGGGCGCTCACATCAGATAAGACAGTGAATACACGGAGCCTCCTTTTTAATACCCTAAATAGAAAGACCCCTCCTCCTACCCGCCGTTGCCCCTTCCAGCGCACGGTTATGCAAATTTCACGTGGGGCATCAGCCACGGCCGGCCGGGCGAAAAATTGTGGCGGAACTCGGGGCAATATTATAAAATAATAACAGGAGAGGTAATTTCCCCGAGGAGCGCAGCCCTCTCTACTCGCTCTCACACAGCGTTGCCGTTTCGTCTCTAATTAATATATTAAACGTACGTTTTTCAAAGTGAAATTGTTGAAGGTTCGGCGCGTGATTTGGCGTCACCGGCCTCAACCTTTCTCAGGTTGGCGTTGCAGTTTTTCAGGGGAAATTCGGGTTTTTCGTAGTGGCACCGAAGAGAGGAGTAACAAGATTTTGGAGTTCAATTCATTTGAACATATTAGACTAAATGGAATGGACCTTCAGACACCGTGCCACCGTTTTCTGTGCCATAGGCTAGGTTTTCTGACAAAGTCCTGGTCACCAAAAACTGAGAAAAACTGCCCGCGGACACATACACGATACAGTAATCAACCTGGGAACTGAATGCACCAGTTTTTTCCGAAGCCAAATCCTGCATTTATGTATCCAAATTTTGCAATTTTATGTTAAGAATGATTTTCTACCCTTACGCAGAGAGGTTATTATCCTTTTTTTGGCCACAAAATCGAAATTTGCTAAGATTCTCAACTCCTCCAATGCGATACGTCGCACGCCAGGAAATCCAGAATAAGTCACCTTGGTGATTCGACGGTCGCCATTTCTTGTGTCAGAGCGACGTGCGATATACCGCATCGATTCGTCTTATAATTTCAGTTCCCTGTCATTTTTTTCGAATTTTGAGATTACACTTCTGCTGTCATGACACTGAAGAATTCATGTACCAAAGACAAAGAAATTCAACGTAATATCGGCAGGGTTTCTTTCAAGAGGAAAACATCGCATTCGATACTGATATCGAAACTGCACTCGAGTGCGATATATTTCCTCCAAAAAAGTCCTGCCGTTATTACGTTGAATTTTTTTGTTAAATTTGGCACATGAATTCTTTAGTCTCATGACAACAGAAGTGCGATTTCAAAATTCGAAAAAAATGACAAGTAGCTATACTTAATGGAACAAATCGATGCGACACATCGCACGTCGCTCTGACACAAAAAATGGCGTCCGTCGAATCACCTTTGTTAACTATAGACGGCAGCGTTTGGTCCCTCGGAAGTTAAAACGCGCTACTGGTGGAGCGAGTGTTGTACACTGAGATGAGGGTATTATTCTATGGTGCCGTGCTGAGAGAAAACGCCGTATGAACCCTCAGGCGTTGCCAAATTTCCTTTGACAAGATACGAATTTATCGGGGGAAATTTTTAAATATATTTCTTCCAATTTTTGAGACTATTTTGTACGCAATTTAATCTAAAATATCTGAACATCTCGAGGAAAAATATGCACAAATGTTGTCATAAATACATTTTTTATCAAGGGAAATTTGGCAACTCTCGAATGTCCATACGGCGTTCTTCCTTAGCACGGCAGTATGGCATGTAGGTCAGCACCTAACGACCGGCAATAATCCTGAAATTAGCGATACGTATCAGGTCCGAAACCAACAGCGTTTTTCCTTTCAGCCGTGGCAATTCCCATTCCCATTCCCCGAGGAATTGCGCTTGATTTTCTTGAGTGTGTTTGTTTTTTCGGGCGACTCCCGCCACTCCACCAGTCACCGGTCCCACCTGTGGTGATTGGTGGAGCGATTCGGTTAGCGTGACTCGCTTCCACCCCGACGAGAAACCTTCGACTCGAGTGCCGACCCGAGGCAACAAAATTCCATACTATCAGCTTTTCGTCGTCTCCATTAGCATGAGACTAGTGATTAGCCCTATTCAGACAGACTTGATTTTCATGATTCCTGAAACATGACGAATGGGGTGGCATCATAAATCAGGTGAAAAAGAAGAAAAAATTGTAGGAGACGAAGGGGGAAAAGAAAAAAAATCAGAATTTCTGCCCCAACCCTTTCGTTTGTCCCTTTTTTTTCTCTTTCTCTCCCTTCCCTTACTTTCTTCTTATTTGACTTCGTCCTCCGATTCGAAATATATTCCATCGAAGTTTTGTGTATCTGCAAGACTCGATGTTAAAGACTAAGTTTAGTAACTGTCATTTTCAAAATATTTTTTCTCGGCTTTGCATTTTTGACAAGAGAAAAACGACTCTTAGAATTTAAAACGACTTCAAACTTCTTTCTTTCCAAAATGCAAATTGGTGCGTTTCTCTGTACGCGGTCGAAATATTTTGCATCTTCAAAACTCGTCACTCAAGTATGTGCAATTGATATCAGCTATGAAAGTTTTTCCTTCATGGACGTAAGAAGGAAACCACTTTTTATTCTTAGTTTGGGGGTTGATTTGCCCGCCCGTCGACCTAAACCACTATTGGAATCTTTATTTTTATGTATACCTTTAATCAACTTCTGCTTATAGAATGAACCTGTAGTTGTCCTGTTTTTATCCTATGCATTATTTATATGTTTTTGCGGCTACTGTACTTTTAGAACAATAACTTACTCTTAAAGAGAGAGATAGGAAACTAATTTTCTTACTTTTGTGATGTTTCAGGGGTGCTTTTTCAGTCGTGCGGCGATGTGTGCAAAAAGCAACCGGACTAGAATTTGCAGCAAAAATTATTAACACAAAGAAACTTACTCCGAGAGGTGAGTGACTCCATTTCATTTTATCTCTCTCCGCGTAATCAGTGGTGCAGCATGTGAAAAGTGAAACAAAACACTAAGAAGTGGCCCGAACTGTATGTAACAAGGTGGAGAAGTGGCCTCTTGGCTTTGTTTTCCCCGCGAAATGGTGTGGACCCAGCACCATTTCTCCACCTTGTTGCATGTTAAAAGTAAACATTACTTTAGCCGTAGAAATTATCATAATTGATATGGTTCGTGGTTAAATCGAATCTCGTGCTATTCTGGAAAAATTGAACTATCAATATTTTTCTTAAAGCCCCATCTAGAGACATATATTGTGAAGAAAATTAACTTTTAAACCTGTCGTTCGCCTTAATGTGCGAGTTTAAAGTTTAGAAAAGGGTTACACAACGATGGCACTGGCACTGGCTCCTCCTCCCCCTATTGTAACGCAGGGTAATAACCCCGCCGGTAGATAGTTACATAATTTATGAATGCTGTTCATGGAAATGGGATTAAATTCACTGTACTAGCTTTAAAAATTACATGATCATAGCCAAAGAAACGAGGTATTTCATTATGATTGATGAAAACACAATACGTGCTTAGGTACCTTTTCTATAAGGAGTTTCCAGTATCGTCAAGACTATTACGAATTGTCAGCTTTCAAGAATATACTTTTAAGAGCTCATATTAATGCAAGTAGCAAAGTAGCAGAACAAAAATTAGTCTAGGTCAAACCTCTAATGCCCAAGGCACCACCCGGTGGAAAATGTTTATTTAGGAATATATTTGATTGAATTACAAAACCACGGACAACAAAGACTTTGAAGAAAACCCTCAAAACACAAGGAATCAAGACGCTTTATAGAAATGACAGATGGCACGATAAGTTTATTTCTCCTTGGAGCTTTTAAAGGTGCTGTATCCGTATTCTACATCCTCGCGCAAGCACAAGAACATTTTGAGAAAAATAAGGAGCCTCGAGAATGGTGGTACCTCTAAAAGGAAAAATTTCAAATTTGATCGACGTTTTGTGCGTGTTCAAAAGCCGCTATGCCTTCTTCCTCTATGTGTAGTTCATTAGATGGAGGTAGAGTACCTTTATAGACAGAGTATGACCATTTCTGTGCCGGTCTTTCATTGGTCGCGAGAAAATAGGCTGACATGATGTTCTTACGGCCGTAAATAAACAAACAAGATGGCTGTTATCAGCAAGCAAGTTTGAGGTTATGCATATCTTACATCCTCCTATGATAAAGGCGAAATACGATTTAATAGTGTTTTCGTGTGTTTTTCAAGTGATATTCGTAGATATGCTATAGTTTAAATTGTTACTGCTATGTATAATTGAAATGTTCTTCAAATTTTAGCTTCTTATCAATGTTACCTACGGTGAGTCACCATCTTGTTTGCTTATTTACGGCCGTAAGGGCATCATGAAGCCTAAAAACTCGTCGACCAATCAAAAAGCGGCACAGTTTTTCTGTAGTAAAAAGATACGAATGGCCATACTCTGTCTATAAAGGTACTCTAGGTGGAGGCTCCCTCAGAGACAGCCTTACACTTTTCAAGAGACGTGCTCGGATATTGAATCTCGGAAGGAACTTGGGCATTAAAATGTATTGGTTTTGGAGTTTGGTTTGCAATGCGTGCATGGGAGGCACCGGCACCTCCTTATCGATTCCGGTCGTCAGCGTGGGATGGGGAGGGGGTGTGGGTGGGAGCGTGGGAGCCGGTAGCTTGGCACGCATTCAATCACGCATCGACGCAGTCTCAAGCCGCTTGTCGAGCTGCACTAAAGTTAGGAATTCCGCTTTTAAATCGATCCAATCCGATGTCCATAAACCAAAAACGATATTTCAATATTTTAATTCCATAATATTTAAGCACTGGTTTATTAGTACTGCACTTAACCCTTTATTGCATAGCGTTGCATGAAAGCAACAAATGGTTTTCAGCTTTATTTCCATGCGGGAGTATTAAATTGAATCAAAGCAAGAAATAATTTTTGGGGAACATTATATGTCTGATCGCCTTGCTTAGAAAAAACCATAAAAATCGATTTCAACCGACTCTAGTGTCAAAAAAATACTGTACAATGTAGATTTTCTCTCCAAAATCAACGATTAGCTCATGCAACAAAGGGTGCACTTAAATATCAATGTATAAAGAGGTGATAATGATATTTAAAATGGTGCATGACTCATAAATGGATAATTAAATCCGACGACAATAACTAAGTTTACGCACTTTAAAACTCCGACAGAAGATCCGCTATTTTGGATCTTAACTCAGCTCTACAAAAGTAATTTAATTCGTTACACATTCTGGGGAGAAGTTTTGCCTCATCGGATCTGAAAGAAAGTGAGAGGAAACCCCTGATTTCCATCTGGGATTTGCCCCTCAAAGTCAACAAATATAGCGCTGACTACTTGCAAAAATCATCACCGGCATAAAACGCCTTCAAATGAGTGTGTATGCAACGCGGACATCCGCAGAGCACGAATAGTCGCATGCGGACGCCGTTGTCAGCGGCTCTCGTTTCCTCGCGATGTAGGAGGCCCCCGATTCCCGCATTTGTTTACATCGAACGTTATCACTCTACACGGAATCGTCTTTTCATGGTTGGAACTCACAACCCGGCGAAAGTAGTCAGAATCGAACTCAACGCCGAGCTTCTACGTTCAATAATCACGGACATACATCGATAGTAGAAGTCGGAAAACGCTTTTCTCGATTTATGGCGTAGCCTTTATGTTACTCCGTAACATTTTATTATCCCAAAGGAATAAACATTATTCTAAGGGAGTTTAATTGATTTTCTTTTTTTTTCAGTCTCTGTAAAAATTCAGCATTTAAAAATAAATAAATGTATAAATTATTAAACATGTAAGGGAAAAAAGATTTTGAAACGTTCCAATCAAGATACGTGAATTTCAACTTTCATCATAGCCATCGCTCTTTGAAAAACGTTCCGAATGACATCATTTTAAGCGGTAGTTTATGATCCTGTATTCTCTACCTTTGATTTATTTATGTCGGATGTATGTTTTCGCGCTCGCTGCTTTACGTGCATCGTTGATTATACCAATGTTGAATAACCAAGTTACGCACTACCATGGAGGATACGACGTCACTCGCTGTTTTCCTCAGAAGGTGGCATCTCCGTTGAATTTACCATGTAAAGTTAGCGTTTAGGCACCTTTTATTACTCATGGACTTTTAAGATCTTCAAGTTTCAACCATGGCAATTCCTCAACTACCGCAACGCATTAATTCCAATTTGTTCCAAAAGAACTCGGTATTGCGTGACCATCCACAAAAAAAGGATAGAAGTACTGAAAGAGTCAAAATTAAATTATTGGCACTCCTGCTCAGAGAAATATTGTACAGATATACTTAAGCACAGAGAATTTCATAGAAATTTAAAAATAATGCGGAGATATGCCTGTTCAAAGTTTACATTTCACGCAACGCAGTGTTCAGAAAATAATACATATAATTGACCCCCTTGAAATATTTTGACTTGATATTAATGGAATAAAAGAAGCATAATGGTTTAGAGTACCAAATTGTTCAATTTTATCGGATTATAATTTCACTCAATGCCTTCTATCGGCATAAAAATAAACTAAATCGTCTCCAACTAATTCTCAGAGATACTAGAGGGTATTTTCCGTTAAGAACACAAACTTTGATTGCAGTATATTTTGCAATGAAGAACTTTTATATCTGGCTCCATTTAAAAGCATTTTGATTAGTTCTCTATGTGATTAGGTGATTTTATAAGCGATTAAAAAATAATGGTCCCTCCCCGCAAAAAATAGTTCGACTCTACAACCTGTCGCCCCGAAAATCCCCACCTTGAAATATGTGTCTCCGTGCGCTGAGGTTCCTTTACTTGCTGACAGTCGCTTATGATCGTCGTTTGTGATTCAGGCTCCGATTTCAAGCAGATCCCGATTTACGTAACCGGTAAAAAGTTAAAAGCCCCGTCAGGCCGGAAAAGAAGCAGCCTTCGAACTGGAAGGAAGCCCTTTAACTTCAATGGGAAACATTTTCAGTCGAGCAATAAAACGGCGTTTGGATCAAGAAGATCGAATTACCGTTCGTAATGGAAAACGGTCATCTCGAGATCTCTAGGCAAGCCCGTTGTTTTCGAATTTTCAAATATTATGAATAATACGCCAGGCGAAGAGTTGCTGAGCGACTTTTGGGGGTTGAGCCACATAGCAGCCTGGAGGCAACCTCCTTCACCCCCCTCCCCCACTATAATTCGACAAGAGCGACATACGTGCACAACCGCACACTGCCACTGCGTTAAGGCCCCCACCGCGTGAATGAACTCAGTGATGCCGCATGAAGGGAGTGGCTGGGAGGCGGGAGGGAGGTACGTGCCGCAGTTTCCAAGGGGTAGGGAGAACAGTGAGAGCGGGGTGGGGGGGGTAAGGGGGCGTCGCTGGAGTTGACTTTTACGACCCGCCGCCGTCCTGCGGTGGGGCACGAAAAAACGAGGTTGAGCTAAGTAGGTCACGCCGTGGAAAACCCACCCTCATCCCTCGTTGACAAGGCCCCAAGGCTCCCCTACCCGATTCTACAGGTTGTCTCCTCCAGCCCCCCACTGTCCCACCACCCCTGAATCCACGATATTTTCGGGAGGACAGCAAGCAAACAATCCATACACCGGACTCTACTAGTTTTCTTGCGCGCAAAACGGAGCCCCTTATTAATTTTATTGTGCTAAAAAACGAGCATATTAAACTGCTTGATGAACCGACTAAGTCTGTTTGCTTCGTTTTTAGACGCTTGGAAATTTTTTTGTTCTACCCCCAAGTAGATAAATAATACATCGAGGCAGAGAGTATCGAGGTGGGTGACGTCGATTCATTACAGTGGCGTGGCGTTCTTTGCTATAAATCGATTGATCTGCCATTTTAACCCATGTAAAAGGATCAATGATGATCAAAGACGAAATTACAGTCAAACGTTACAGAATTTTCACCTGCAATTTTGTTTGT